TCAAAATATGGTGACCGCTTGAAAAATTCCTGAAAAATTGTGAAACCGAAAAGATTTATTCAATTGTTTGAAATTTCAATTTGAATCAAATATTTTTCTTTGAAATTTAAAAATTTTTACCATTGCGTACAGAAACAATTTCAGATTGTCAATATCATATAAAATACTCAACACATTACCAAACTTAAAATTTTAAAATTAAACATCTCAGTGCTTGCACTATTATACAATGTTTGATACCGTAACTTCCATTGCATTTATACTGTTGTTGCAAACTTTTGCACATACTTAACTAACGCTTCCATTTGTTTCTCATTCAAACTTTCAGGTTACACTTATACTCCATCTAATAATTCCAGTCTACATCTTTTTGCTATAACTTGAGAATGTTTCTGCCTCCAATCACCTATTTTTCAGGATTACCATATAACAGAACTTCAGGCACTTTATTATTTAGATCTATTATATTGTGAAAACTAGAAGAATATTAGAAGCATAACTAAAACTTTCTCCACTAAGACTATTAGAATTGCTCATTACACCAGAAGAACCGGTTTACTCCCCGAAACTATATAATCTCCAATGCTTAACTCATAAAGAGTATACTTATCATCCAGTCTTTGATCAATACTCTCAAATCAACCACACAACATTGTTATATGGAAGAATCTAATTAATTCTCTTGTAATGCTCTATTAAAATTTTGTGCTGAATAGAGTTATATAAATAAAATTAGTATTTTTGTGAGCAGAAAAGACACAATCAACTACGTCGAAATGCATAATCATCCTATTTATCACCATATGCAATATCATCTGCTGTTAAATGTTTGTCCTTTGCAAAAAACACATACTTTTCTTTTTTACGCTTTTACAGCAAGAAAATAATTCAAGAAAACATTTCTGGAAATATGATGAGTATTTAAGATCTTTTTCAAAATCATTCGTCAATAAAAATCTTACACGGATAAAACTTTTTCTTTTTACACTTCTTAATTAATTAAGCAAGCCGCAATCAGATGATTAGAATATTGAAATTCTAGCTAGATCGTCGAATATGCAAAAAACTTTCGAGATTCAATTAATTAAGCGATTTTCAAAAAGAAATTGGATATTTAACATGAATCATTCTGGAATTCATAAAACAAAAAACATTTCAAGAATGTTCATTACGAACCAAACTTCTACAAGATCAGACTGTCTTAAGGACGACAATGCATGAGCCAAATTTCCACCACTACGATCCTTTCCATTACAGAAAGCAAATAACAGATACCGGTCGCATTCCAAATTACTTTTATTTCGTGAAAAATCAAAATTTGCTTTTTCATGAATTCGCCGGGATTCACTACCAATCATTAATCATCTACTAATTGACGGATTCTTCTGTTCACTTTGAATCACCGCAGAAAATACCATCAATAACCGTTTAATGGTGCTTCGATAGAATCATTCCATAAAGAATTCTTAAAACATTTCTTTGTTTTATGAATTCCGGAATGATTTATATCAGACATCTATGTTCTCAATATAAATAAAAGATATTTTCCCGAAATTTGATTCATTAAATTTTATTTAATTCTTCAAACCCTCTTCCACATATTTCCCATATCAGATGAGTTTTCTATATTCTAATCGGTTGATTATATTTTACTTCCTCTACTTCAAAAGCATTATAAATTTAAAAAGAAATTTTTAAATTCTGACCTGTCAGTTATGATTTGCTTTAAAGAACTGTATAATACCTATGGAAGATTTCTTCTTGGAGTGACCATCTAAAGAGACGTAAACAGCTCTTTTGAATTTTTAAAATATCTATTCATCTCACAAAATGTCAACAAATTAAAATTTTTAAAGAAAATTTAGGAAATTTTAGCCACTGTGCACAAAATCAATTTCAGATTACCAATGCATCTTTTGGGTACTTTCACATTGGTCATTTGCGCTGTTTTCTTGGCTCAAGTAAGTTCTCCAACTGCTTCTAAAGGAAAAATTATATTTCAATATAAGTTGCACCAAACATCACGAATTTTATTTTCAGGCATGCAATTCACGGATGGAAAGACGTATGGGGCCACCAGGACGAGATGGACGTGATGGAAGTCGAGGAGAGCCGGGATTGAAAGGCCCAAGAGGTCCGAAAGGATTCCCTGGAAGACCAGGACCGCCAGGGCGACAAGGTAGTCAAGGCTATAAGGGAGAGCCGGGGCCGCAAGGACCGAAAGGTTTAATAGGA